AAGGCTGCAATTTTAATTAGATGTTTTTCATTTCCATCTCATTTGATTTCCCTGCCAATAAGACCTACGTTAAATAGGGTTAGGGCTGGTTTTTTTAGACGCCGCTAGTAGCCTACACGTCTGAAACAAACTATTCTACGGCTCATTTTTGAAACAAAATATTTGGAAAAACCAAGGCTTATCAACTACCACTGCATCGTGAATGTGGTTCAGAAATCCTTTGGTTAATCTCACCACCACATGTTTATTCTTTTTTTTTGCGTTATATGGCATAATTCCAATTTCATATAAATACTTACCGTCAGGTTTTGTGCAGCAAAGCAGCATTTGCTATAATTTCTTAGCAGCGGCAGATTGTTCAGTAATTTTGTAAAGGTCATCACTTTTCTTTGATTAGTAAGGAGGCGAAAGGCGAAGAAATAGGAACATTGAATTCTCGCGTAATTTAAAAAGATTGATTGGAGGGGAATCTAGCAGCAATTTCGAATAAGCTCTTTCAATATAAATCAAAAGAGATGCTTGTTGAATAGAGTAGAAGCGAAACCCGCAGACGTTCGATGGGTAATTTGTGCAGCTCGGAAAATCATTGGCAGTGGAGAGGTAATGTGTTTAATTAGATGAAGATGGGTAGGACTAGCGAAAGCAGTGATAAAGCTAGGTCCCCAGGGGAATTCAGGGGTAGAGACGCACCTCTCCTAATGGAAAGCAGCAAGGCACTAGGTTCTTCGACGACGAAGCAAGCGCACTTTTAGGTGGTATTGCAGCCGGCCAAGACTAATTAATTCCATGCATTGATTTTGCAGATTTCAGAAAAGAAAAATCTGATTGAGAAGATTGAGAGAACCCACGTCATACCAGAAGCAGCAGTGCTGTTGGGAGTCCATTCGCTCTGAATCAGAAAAAAAAACTCAACTCATCAAACATTTTGAATTTTTTTATGCCATCTTGACTGGTCGTGCAAGCTCTCTTTTATCTACTAAATGCTTTATCTGAACTTCACAATACACAAATATATTAAGCTAGAATCTAGAATCAAAGTGACAATCGCGGCTACCACTGTGGATTCAGCGGATCGTACCCGGCTGGAAACTCGGGTTGCGGGAAACTCTCCTGATAGTTGCTCGTCGTGGTCCCGTAACTCATTCCATGGAATCCCTGAGCTGGAGTAGCTTCCGTCATCTGTTTGGCATTATCAATTTCAGCATAGTTATCGTTCTTCACAGCCGTCATCATCTCAGTCTTCCCTTCTAGGGCATCGTAACTATTCACTTTTCGAAGAATTGCTATCACTGGTGCGTAGAGCACGTTACTAAGGAATATGATCATGTTCAGGGAAAAGAAGCCAAAATTTCCTACAATCCAGCCGGCAATGATAGGCCCGAAAGCGTAGGCAAGAGAGTAGGAGATGTCCGCAATTGCGTAGACGGAACCGTAGACGGGCACATGTCGGGTGTCGACCAGATGGCCAAGCATAGGCAAGAGGGAAGTGTCGATTAGGGCAATGCCAAAGCATACAAAACTTAGGGGAATAATCAGTTGCATTACAGATGTCGTGTAGGGAACGGCGAAGCAGGCG